AAACGTTTAGAGCACCTTAAGCATATAGAAGAGCAAAAGAAGTTAGAGTTACTTACTGAGAGTTTGCCGGACGTGCCCGTCGATGGTGAGTCCTTTCTTACCATCAAATATTCGTTAGTTGCCTTTGTTTACATGTTTCCGTGCTTTTACAGAATTGTCTAAACTCAATGTGAACAGTAATGTGCCATCGGGTAGCTCCAGTCCTTCTGTTCCTAATTCACCTAATCTACGACCTCGTTCTCCTCTTCCAGCGCACAAGGTAGAGTGACTGTAACTTTCAACTTTTTCCATCATTCCGTGCTGCACTTTATAGTCTGAAAGTTTAACGAAAGAAGAGCTTGCTGTCCTTGCTATCACATCTAATATAAATGGACGAAAATATGTTCCTTTTTTATCTGTTGATCTCAAAGAGAAGTTTAACTATTCCATCCCCTTCAGGTAAATGATCTTCTTGTGCCAATGATTTGTATCCACCTCTTCTTTACTTACAGCGACAAAGATGGCAAAATTTCACTTACGGAAAAGCAGAAGAGAAGAATAAAGGCATGGCTGCGGCCACATGAAATTTTTCCTGAACCAAAAGTTATCGGTAATGTAGACAGCGGAACAATAAAGCAGGTACTTTTTTTTTATGAGGCTCACCTTTTCAAAAGTCTTTGGGGTTTTGTCAGCGTGGAGTAACATCGCATGCTAGGACTTTTTGTAGAGTTGTACTTCTTTCACTCTCTCTTTCATCATGGCGTATCTATCACATGTTTGTTTTAACTTCTTTTTCTCAGTCATATTCTTAAACGCTGGCGCACCGTCGTTCTCGCACGTTTTATGACATTTGTTTTGATTGCAAAAAGCACGTTAATATGTCTGCTTTATTTGGTTATACGAGCGCACGGACTCGTGTCTCGTATAACCGAACAAAGCAGCACTCTCGGTCAGTTATCTATTCCCCCAGATTGTTATGAAGTAAAAGTCAAGAATGGGTCGAACAACGATGCGGTGCGATTGCATTGCTGCAAAAATCGACGATTTGACTTGATTTGACTTTCTCGAAGCAACTTAAGGGTTTTCAGCAGTCGACACCGGTGTGCAACAAGTACGCCAGTGAGGGGTATGGTCTGAACGGGAGGAGAAAGTCAATCATTTTATTCGAACCCCATGATATAGGTTTCATTAGTCGAGTATCAACTTGATGCCTTTAGTGCAGCATTCATTTTTTTGTAACTACCCCGCTAATGGAATCTGTTTTTTTAGTCCATTTTCACATTTCAAATTGTTTTCCTGGAGGCTTACATTTCATTTATTTGGAAAGTTACTAATCTTAGAGAAGCTTAAAAGGTATGAAGTTCACAAAAATGGTTGAACTTCTCGTTTCGTTGTGAGCGTAAATCTCAGTTGAACAAACGATTTACATCGCCGCCGACTTCTGAGAGGCTCAATGTGCTTTTAGATTGTAATCAAGCCAAACTCTGAAGGGTAGGCATAGCCATAAGTGGAGCTGAATTACAACTGACATCTAGTGCTGCAAGCAACACTGACCCGCGATCAACCAATCAACAACCGATTATTATTTTAATAGCTTTTTGGTTTCATTCTATCGATGTCTGAATCAGCCATTTTCATGAATGAGTCATCCTGAAATGCCAATTCTCCTTAAGGTTTCAAATATAGATTTTCTAAGGGG